AAACGGTGCATCAGGATAAGGGGAGGAAACCATTGAGGTTCCGCTATGCCCCAAAGTCGTCAATCGCTGTTCGGAGGCCACGCAGCGTGAATGAAATAAGAAAAGCACCACCCGGGAGGTGGCAAGGTGTCTTGAGGCAGACAAGCCAGAGAAGCGCCTGCCTGAAACCAGACGCAGAGAGTTAGCGGCACCGCAATCCGCTATAATAGCGGTCCACAAGCGCGAAAGAATAGCGGTGGGCACAGGTCTCCGAACCCTAAAGTCCGAGGGTGTCAATTCACCATAAATCCCCCAAAAGGAGGAATAACCCCGCCCGCAGCAATTACCCGACACCTGAAGGGTCCCAGTTGAAGCCAAACGCCGTGGGGTTGTACTTCATAAAAGATGCAATATCCCCAAGAAAGCGGGGGTAATGCACGGAGTAACGATCGTGACAGTGAAAGAGAATATGCTGGCGAGACTGTAGAGCAGCCCCGCAAGTGCAGCCATGAGGCTCGTTGATCTTGAAGCGACGGTAATACGCTCCAATGGGTGTGTGGCCAGTTATGCACCGGCAAACGCGAGCGAACTCAGGGACCATGGCTTTCAACCTTTGGACACAGTATCACTGAGTTCACTTGCATTTGCCGGTGTATAACTGGACACGCGCCTATTGGAGCGTACTACCGTCGCTTCAAGATCAATGAGCCTCATGGCTGCACTTGCGGGGCTGCTCTGCAGTCCCGTCAGCACGTCCTCTTTCGCTGCTGTGATTGGTATTCTGTACATTATCCCCGGTTCCTCGGGGATATTGCATTGTTTTTGAAGTACAACCCAACAGTGTTTGGCTTCAACCGGGACCCCTCGGGTGTCAGATAATCGTTGAGGGCGGGGTTATTCCTCCTTTTGGGGGATTTAGAGTGAATTAACACCATGGACAGGGTTCGGCGACCCACACCAGCTTCATCTCTTTGTGCTTGCAGTCCGCTATTATAGCGGGTTGCAGCGCTGCTAACTTTCTGTGTCTGGTTCCGGGCAGGCACATCTCTGGCTTGTTGGCCTCAAGACACTCTGCCACCTCCTGGGTGGTGCTGTTCTTATCTCATTTGTGCTGCATGGCCTCCGAACAGCGATCGACGACTTTGGGGCGTAGCAGAACCTCAATGGTTTCCTCCCCTTATCCCGATGCACCGTTTTCGCGAGGTGGGTTGCCCTCTGGGGAGTTTCAGCATTTGAGCCCAAAGGGTCTTGGTTGGGGGGGCGGTCGTCTTTTAGTAGTTAACTTAGTACCCAGGTTGTGTAGCGCGCGTGTTTGTAGATAGTGAGCGGCCTGCCATCAAGCACCACTATCAAGGAAGTCGTATTTTTTGCTTTCGGCCATCCAGAATGGGTACTAAAGGAAGGGTAAGATTTTAATTGATATAGATATCAATCGAGACTTACTGTTCTCATCAACAGTGAAACCGCTCTTCCAACCTGACTGATTGTTGCCATTAGATGAAATATTAGCTGGGCTAGGTGCTGCCTTTGATAAAGTAAATCCTTTCCTCAGTGAAGAGAAAGGACCAGCAGTTGACTCTAAGATAAAGATAAGTTTCAAATCACATTGAGAGCAACTGATGACTTACAATTGTGTGAACGACCCCTGGGCTTCATGGTGAATGACCAGTAATTGTTGTATACCGCTGAACAAATTTGCTCAATGCCAAACGCTATGCAGAGCACAGCAACAAGGCGCTCATACTCCAAAGCATGCATCATGCCAGTGATAAACTTGACTAGACCTCCGTTTCCAAAGGTCTGCCCCTCTGCAAGACAGTCCTCATCTGTAGAGACAAAAGAGCAGAAAAGAGCAGGCTGTGGCTGTTCCTTCAAGTGGATCACCTTTGACCCTACATTGGAGTAGGGGACGGAGTGCAGTACAAGGTGTTCTGGGTTGATTCGGGACAAGTTGCCAGTGCTGTTCTTGCAGCAGATAGAGAAGGCTATCAATTGAACAAGATAACTGCATTGAAATGATTTAGCAACCCAGAATCAAAGCTATGAGTTAGTGACATACTTCATATCAAGTTTTGGGTAATTCCTTTTAATGAGTGATAGCCGGCACATACCCTGGTCGATGAAGTCGGCTGAGGTTCTTGTAATGTTGCATCGACCGCTTGAAATCAAATCAGAACCTATATAAAACAACCAATAAATACTCACCTCGGAAGGTTTGGAAGACCTCGATAGGTCTTTTGAAGAATTGGATCCACCAAGTCGCAGTGATAGACTCCACAGACATCAAGGTCTAGAACTCTATTGAAGGTTCATCAGCAGAAGAAATGGCTCAGGCAATTGCTTGCTTACTGGGGAATCTCAGTGGGCTCAAGATTGTCAAGAACTAACTCTTGCTTGTTTGTTTCCAAAAAGGGATCATCTGATGTGTGTTTGCCCTGCTTTTTATTCTTCTTTGTCAACTCCTTGACCTTCTCAAGCTTGTGATTTTCACTAATCAAGCGAGTCATTAGAATTTAGCATGCTTAAGAGGGCTTAGAGAACTTACACAGCTCAATCAAAAACAAGTTGACGGGCAGGGCTAGTAAAAAAAGGTCAGCAATGGTTCCAGAAAATTGTGGAATGAAGCTTACTTGCATGATAGCTTGAGCTTTGGAGGTGGCCGCTCGTCATCAGAGACCTCCTCTCTGAAAAATGCAGTTAAGCATAAATAGGCCTTAAACAAAAAGATAACACAAGCACCTCTTTCTCTCGAACGCCCACTTGTCAACAAGCACAAACAACTAGCTCATCATCTTGTACATCATCTAGCGCTTTATCGACAGGCCAGAAGACTTCTTTTGAATGTTCATACTGCATCAACACACCATGTCTGACCCCCCACCGAGAGGGCAGGGCGCAAGACCCCCCAGGGCAGTTCCTAGAAGCTGTTGTGGGGGGGGCTCAGGCTCTGCACCACCAGCTATCCCACCATCGGTCGCTGGCTCATCGTCCTTGGGCGGTGATGCCTCGCCAATCTCACCAGACCCTACCTTGACTAGGGATACATACTCGACAATTGTGCCAGCTCGATCTCACCACACGTTGCCTTGCTGCAGGTCCTGTTCCACCACAGGTTCTGCCCATTCATCCCAGTACGAGTCTGACTTGGGGACGGCCCAACCCCAGGAGATGGAGGTAGAGGACACTCAGGAAGACGAAGAGGTCTCGAGGGACCCCTCTGTCGACCAACTTTTGGGTCAATATCCCTCGAAGTTCTGAGACACAGTCGAGGATCTTTCGGGGGACCTCAAGGTGTTGACCACTTCCATTGCAAAAGCCACAGATTGGGTTCTGCGGGCTGCGCACCACGATCCGCTCTCCATCGATGGGGGCAATGCTTTCGCGGCTCAGATGATGGCCTTTGTGAACGCCATTGTAGCCACTGATTTTGGCAGGATTCGCGGAGTAGGCGATCTTGTGGATATCTCTCTCGCCTCTATGCTTGAGGCTGAGACATCCTCCAGGGAAGAGTCAACCATCCACCCAGCCCCTGTCTTCCGTCCTCCTCCCCCTGCTATTGAGAGGTCTTTGTACTCCCCCACATATCCCTATAGGACTCCAGTGGACTCCAGTGGAGTCTGGTAGAAATCTATTAGCAGGAACACCAGCCAAAAGTGCCTACTGGACTCCAGTGGAGCTCACTGGAGTCCACTGGAGTCACCACCCAAAGTCTACTGGAGTTCACTGGAGTATACTGGAGTGGAGTGTCCATCTTCCACTGGACTCCTATAGGACTTCAGTGGAGTCCAGTGAACAATGCAGAGAGATGTTATAGTCATAGAAGACTGATGCCAAGATTGATGGCCAGTCACATGACTTGTTATTTGCCTATTCCTTCAGAGTCAGCTTCTGAAACTTTGATGTTATGGCCTCAAATAGAAACAATTAATAAATATATGATTGCTAGGCCCAGACTTGGCATTGATGAAAAGTAATAAAGCTATCAAGTTTGCTGATGACATCAATATCAGAGTCACATGTGACAAATTGGATTTTGCCAAAATGTGCTCTATCTACACAGGGACTAGGGGTGCTAACAATATAAGATATGCAGGTCACATGACTGTGAGAAATTTTCTTTTTAGGAGAAAATAATTGCAATAAATGATGATCCTGAATCCACTTGAGTGATGGTATTTGGCTCTATTAATGACAAGATATAAGCCAAATAATGCCAAAATTTGCAAAAGTAATCTACTTTTTCAGTATTTTGCATTTTTCTTGCCAAGCAGAGCAGCTAATGACATCAAATAACTTGATTCAGGGTAGGCCAAAGGTGCTCTACATGTTTTTTCCTAAAAAAATTGATTGTTAAGCATCTTGTTACATATTCTATATGCTGGACTTGGGGAATGGTCCAACAGACTATTATCTATTCTGATGTGTAATAGGTACTGGTTAGTAGTCTATTTTGATACATATACTGGAGTCCAGTGGAGTCCAGTAAGAGTCCAGTAAGACTCCAGTAAGACTCCAGTAAGACTCCAGTAAGACTCCAGTGGAGTCCAGTAAGACTCCAGTAAGACTCCAGTAAGACTCCAGTAAGACTCCAGTATTACTCCAGTAAGACTCCAGTATTACACTCCAGTAGAGTCCAGTATACTTTCTTACTGGACTCCACTGGACTCCACTGAACTCCACTATACCTTCTTACTGGAGTCCACTGGAGTCCACTAAACTCCAGTATAATTCCACTGGACTCCACTGGACTCCACTGCATAATATGCCAACTCCACTGGAGTCCAGTGGAGTCCTATAGCACTCTGTGGGGGACCACAAAGTACTGGCTATTGATGAGGGAGTCGAGGGCGATGTTCCCATGCAGGAATTGGACGACTCTGCTTGCCCTGCCTCCCCCTCTCGCATCCCCACCTCTAAGAAGTGTAAGGGTCTCGATTGTCCAGTGCCGCCTCCTCCTCAGACGAAGAGCAAGATTGCCTACTCTCACCCTGGTCCGCCTCCGCCGATCAATCGCGCTACCAAACCCAAGCCCCGTCTGACAACGTGGGCAGGGATTGCTCGTCAGGCTGCGCTGATGCCTCCCCCGCCTCCTGGCTTGGGACCGCAACGCCGCGGGCCTTCTCCCCTACCCGCATTCCCAACGGGCCCGATGAAGACTTCGATTCATTGGTCTGTTCTGTCTTTCACTTCCGAGGGCCCCACCCAGAAGCAGGTTCTCGTGTCGTTTGGGGGTACCCCTCCTGACCTCACAAAGTTTTTCACCGAGTCAGCCGTGCGCGTGGCCAACAGGTACCTCAGGGATGGTTGATCTATGCTTAAGGTCACCTCCATCATCCACACCTATGACGGCCTGTCGTTGGTCACCCCTGCTGTTGCCAGCCCGTCCGATCTGGACATACTGCACAACTTCATCCACGAAAGCCTCCCAACAGGTACTCCATTTGAGGTCGCGCTTCCTTTGTCAACATCTTTTATTAAGATTCTCGATGTCCCTTACTTTGACCCAAAAGGGTTGAAGATCACCCAGGAAGCCCTCGAAAAGGCCCTCTGCACCTCAGTTCACGCTGAGGTTTTCGCGTATCTGAGCACCAAACCTCGGATCGATCGCAACTTGGCGCACTCGACATCGTGCACTGTCTACTGCAATATCTGGGACTCCCAGCAGGGAACCCACACCAAGAAGGCCTTAAGCCAACCAATTTTCCTTGCTGGGCGATCCTGTGCAATCAGGCCTGCTGCGTGACACACTGGGGTCCCGCTCTGCCAGCGCTGCTGGAAGTGGGGCCACCCCACCACCGCCTGCAAGGTGAAACAACTCTCTTGCCCTATCTGTTCAGGTCCGCACAAGCAGAAGGAGCATTGTCAACATGCGGGATGTTGCAAGGGGAACGCGAAAGTGAAGCCCCCTGTGCTGCCCACCCCTCACGACCAGCCCTGCCCCCACAAGGGCCGCTGCATCAATTGCCACAAGGACCATACCGCCAACTTGGCTTCATGCAAGTACTGGGCACATCGCTACAACCGTGAGTGGATCATGGCCGAGTATCGTCAGGTACGTGAGCACGCTGCTCACCACCAACTTACTAACCCCCGAACCTAGACTAATGTTGGGAAACCTTCAGGATCTAAATAGTGGGCTTTGTATTTTTTGTCAGAACGTTCACCATACATATGCACAGGTAGACACTCTCCTTGAAATTTGTAAAAACAGATTTGATATTTTATTTGTCCAAGAAACACCTTGGAATTTCATAAGGCACGCACCGTCCACCACGACTATGGAGGCTGATGAGGTTATTGGTGCACCAAAGCATCCTGACTGGTTGCAAATGGTGTGCATTAAGGAAGGGGAAGTTCCCCGCGTGAATGTCTATTCTGACGACCAACACACAGCCATTGAGCACCTCGCTGCTCGTGTGCATTCTCTACCGCCTTTCATCTATATGGCAGGCGACTTCAACTGTGTCTTGATGACTTGGGATGATTACGATCATGGCGAGTCGTCGACGGCAATATCCCTGCAGGATACCACATCTCAGATCGGCCTCGAGTGGGCTTGACCTTCTAACCATGGACCAACGAGGATCAGTCCTAATCCAAACCAGAGGTCCAATGTGTTGGATCTTGTATTCTTAGCTCCATCTGAGATCTTAATCTCAATGCCCAGATTGGAGCACAATCTCCAGAGTCCATCAGATCATGTCCCGATCTGCACAGATTTTGATATTGGTCCCAAACCGCCCAGATCTGGGCAACGGACAATTAAACCCGGAAGCGAGGCTGAAAAGTCTTTCATTTCGGACATTCTCCGGGATCCTGCGGCTATTCCTGTCGCAGCCCCAGCAACCAAGGAAGGCGTTGAAGCTCTGGCTGATGCTATTGCGACAGCGTTCTCGGATGGGTGGCTTGCCCATTCGACCGAGTCCAAGCCTACCAAGTGCTCCAAGTCCTGGTGGACGGAAGAGTGCTCGGAGACATTCGGAGTATATCAGCTGAGCCGTTCGCTCACTGATTACAACAAGTTCAAGAAGGCGTGTAAGGACGCCAAATGAGATTTCTTCAATGAATGCATCGCAGAAATCGCTACCTCTTGCAAGCGCCCGTGGGACCTAGTGGAATGGGTCAAACAGCGCAAGCTACCACCCTGTGAGGCTATTCGCAATGGCGACCAGCCTTGTCATGATATGGACGACCTCTGGGATGCCCTCCACGGCATGTACAACTTGGCCTCTGGTCGCGAGTATGACACCTCCGTATTAGATGAGCTTCCTGATGAGCCAGTCTGTGAATGGGCTGACTTTTCGGAGCATGAGTTGTTGAGTGCCCTTAAGGGGTGTTCCAACTCCTCTGCGCCAGGACTGGACCATGTCACATGGGTCCACCTAAAGGAGTTGCTCAAGGATAAACACGTCCTTGCGCTCTTCATCGTGCTGGCCAACGCCTGCCTTAGGGTTAGGCATTGGCCACGTATTTTCAAGGAGTCGCTATCAGTGATCGTGCCAAAGCCGAATAAGCCCTCCTATGCAGTCCCAAAGGCTTTCAGGCCTATCGTACTCCTCATCACCTTTGGTAAACTTATTGAGAAGATGATTGCCAATAGGATACAGTTTGACGCTGTCAAACATGATATCTTCCATCCAAACCAACTTGGCGGTATTCGCCAGAGGTCAACTGAGGATGCTGGATTGATTCTGACCCATCTCGTGCGAGCGGGGTGGGTTAAGGGTCTCCAGACTAGCACGCTGGCTTTTGATATCACGCAGTTTTTCCCTTCTATCAACCATGAAATGTTCATGGCTGTCCTGCGCAAGCAAGGATTCTCGCCAATCTTGGTGGAGTTCTTTGCGTCCTATCTTGTTGGTCACTCCACAGTTTACTGCTGGAATACCTTCCAGTCTGACCCATGGTCTGCGGACGTGGGTGTTGGGCAGGGCTCAGCTCTCTCACCTGTTATCTCAGGACTTTTCATTGCTCTGGTAATGAAGCTCTTTTACATCAAAGCAGCACCACTCAATATGATGCTACTTTCCTTTGTGGACGATGGGACCATTCTGGCCCAGTCCAAACAGCTTGATGATAATAATGTGGGCCTGCGTAAGGCCTATCAAATTATCTACCTTCTCTTTGTTGCCTTTGCACTCGTTCTTGAACACGACAAGACCGAGCTGTTCCACTTTTCACGTCGGCAAGATGCTTATAATCCTTCGCTGGATCTGGGGTACGCCCCGCATACCAGCGATACTCCTCTGAAGCCCAAGACCTATTGGAGGTACTTGGGCTTCTACTTTGACTGCGGGCTCACTTTCCATGAGCATGTTCCACTACTATGCCACCAAGGCATTCACCACTGTGCAGGCCATGTGCATGCTCAGAAACTCCACCAGAGGTCTATCACCTAAACAGTGACGCCTCCTTGATAGATCGTGTGTGGTCCCTATTGCCACGTACGGTTATCGTCCCTGGTATTTCGATGGCACCTGTAACTTTTTTTTTTTTTTTTTTTAACATATCAACAATTTATATAGCAGTGCTCGATGGCAGCCTGCTCGCTATCTACAAACATGTACACCGCACGGCCTGGGTACTAAGTTAACTACTAAAAGACATCCGCCTCCCCCAACCGCGAGCCTTGTGGCTCAAACGCCTAAACTCCCACAAAGCCAGACCCACCTCACGAAAACGGTGATGCAGGATAAGGGGAGGAGACCATTGAGGCCCTGCTAAACCCCAGAGCCATCGGACGCTGTTCAGAGGCCATGCAGCACACATGAAATAAAACAGCACCACCCAGGAGGTGGCAGGGTGTCTTGAGGCTGACAAGCCAGAGAAGCGCCTGCCCAAGACCAGACGCAGAAAGTTAGCAGTGCTGCAATTGACCAAGAAGTCATCTGCCTGCACTAAAGAGATGTCGCAGGCGTGGGTCGCCAAACCCTAAGGTCCATGGTGTTAATTCACCCTAAATCCCCCAAAAGGAGGAATAACCCTGCCCGAGGCAATTATCCGACACCTGAGGGGTCCCGGTTGAAGCCAAATGCCATAGGGTTGTACTTCATAAATGATGCAATATCCCTGAGAAAATGGGGATAGTGTACAGAGTATCTATCGCGGCAGCAAAAGAGGACGTGCTGACGGAACTGCAGAGCAGCCCTGCAAGTGCAGCCATGAGGCTCATTAATCTTGAAGCAATGATAATATGCTCCAATGGGCATGTGGCCAGTTATACACCGGCAAACGTGAGCGAACTCAGTGATACTGTGTCCGAATGTTGAAAGCCATGGTCCCCCATTGAGGTACGATGGCTGAATCAGCCGCCCATCAGGCTGTTGAAACTCCAAGAATTTGGAGCCCCAGTAGGTTGGATCCTGGAAAGTGGAACTCCACAAATCCAGGACTGAGTGTGCAGCTCGAGAGTGGAGCGCATCGATAGAATTGTCCGTCTTGCGATGTCCAACCCTGACCTTAAGTTCGGTGACATATTTGTGTGCTTCACCATGAATGTCCCACCACAAAGCAGATGGAAAGTAGATGAAAGTGATGCAGCGGAGATCGTCCGCCTCAAACCACTCTTGGAGAGCACGACATACTGACAGGCTAAAAGCCTGACCAGAGTGTATGGAGGGGTCCACTGCTCTGCGGGCCGAGCCCATAGAGTCAGTGAAGACCATGATATGTTGGCAGTTTGCCTGCTTGACAGCCAGGTGCACTGCACACGATATGGCATTGAGTTCTGCATCGGGGGCAGTAACTCTGCCAGAGACGTAGCGAGTCCTTTCGAGCTTGCGATGTCCCTTGTAGATGATAGCAGCTGAAGCTGCCTGATACTGGTTGGACTGAGGGACAGAGCCATCAGTTGCAGCCAGTACTGTTAGGGGGTTGGCTCTTGCATTAGCAATGAGCTTGTCGAGGTACGGGCGCCTATTCTGGATGGGATCGCGCTCATCAAAGCAGTGTATTGTGTTGCCACCCTCTCAGACACTCACCCTCTTCGCTCCATGATGGGCAAGGGGCTTCTCAAATGGGCTGAACCTCACATCTGCTCAGCTGCCTTGATGACCCCAGCTACGTGAGGGAAGTTCAAGAGCACTGTTATGGAGGTGGACGAGCATGTCCACACTTTAACTGAGAGCTTCGAGCCTTTTGCACCCAAAGCTTGCCCCAGCAATCAGTTACTGGACTGCATCCACTTTGACGAGCGCGATCCCATCCAGAATAGGCGCCCGTACCTCGACAAGCTCATTGCTAATGCAAGAGCCAACCCCCTAACAGTACTGGCTGCAACTGATGGCTCTGTCCCTCAGTCCAACCAGTATCAGGCAGCTTCAGCTGCTATCATCTACAAGGGACATCGCAAGCTCGAAAGGACTCGCTACGTCTCTGGCAGAGTTACTGCCCCCGATGCAGAACTCAATGCCATATCGTGTGCAGTGCACCTGGCTGTCAAGCAGGCAAACTGCCAACATATCATGGTCTTCACTGACTCTATGGGCTCGGCCCGCAGAGCGGTGGACCCCTCCATACACTCTGGTCAGGCTTTTAGCCTGTCAGTATGTCATGCTCTCCAAGAGTGGTTTGAGGCGGACGATCTCCGCTGCATCACCTTTGTTTATGTTCCATCTGCTCTGCGCTGGGACATCCATGGCGAGGTACATAAGTACGTCACTGAGCTCAAGGTCAGGGTTGGACGTCACAAGACAGACAATTCTTTAGATGTGCTTCACTCTCAAGCTGTGCATTCAAGCCTGGATGCATGGGGTTCCATGTTCCAGGATCATACCTACCGAGGCTCTGAGTTTTTGGAGCTTCAACAGCCTGACGGGCGGCCAATCCAGCCATCGTACCTTAATGGGGGACCTTGGCTTTCAACCTTTGGACACAGTATCACTGAGTTCGCTCGCGTTTGCTGGTGTATAACTGGCCACATGCCCATTGGAGCGTACTACCATCACTTCAAGATCAATGAGCCTCATGGCTGCACTTGCGGGGCTGCGTTGCAGTCTCACCAGCACATCCTCTTTCACTGTCATGATAGATACTCTGTACACTATCCCTGTTTTCTTGTGGATATTGCATCATTTTTGAAGTACAACCCAACAGCGTTTGGCTTCAACCGAGACCCCTCGGGTGTCAGATAATCGTTGACAGCGGGGTTATTCCTCCTTTTTGGGGATTTAGGGTGAATTAACACCACAGACCTTAGGGTTCGGCGACCCATGCCAGCTTCACTTCTTCATGTGTGCAGTCCACTATTATAGCGGGTTGCGGCACTGCTAACTTCCTGCGTCTGGTTTTGGGCAGGCACTTCTCTGGCTTGTCGGCCTCAAGACACCTTGCCACCTTCTGGGTGGTGCTGCTTTATTTCATTTGCGCTGCGTGGCCTCCAAACAGCGTCCGACGGCTCTGGGGTTTAGCGGGGCCTCAATGGTCTCCTCCCCTTATCCCGTGTCACCGTTTTCATGAGGTGGGTCTGGCTTTGTGGGAGTCTAGGTGTTTGAGCCACAAGGCTCGTGGTTGGGGGGGCAGATGTCTTTTAGTAGTTTACCTAGTACCCAGGCTGTGTAGTGTACGTGTTTGTAGATAGCAAGCGGGCTGCCATCAAGCACCACTATATAAATTGTTGATCAAAAAAAAAAAAAAAAAAAAAAATCGTAGAGAGGGTGGTTACACAAAGGACTGCCTAAGAGCCAGACAATAGTGGGAATAGGAGTGATAAAGTAGTTGGCTGAAGAATCAAAGGATACAAAAGTACAACCTGCGTCAAATGTGGACCATATTGTCAAAGGGCAATCATACGTAGTGCCACAGGAATGGGTGTCTGGGAGCAACAATTCATTCCGTAGAAGCTTAAAGCCCTGCTGATGGTAGCGCTTCCAGAACATCTCAGCTTCTACCTGAGAAAGCAAATGACAGAAGTCAGTACGCAAACTGTTTTTGGAAAATAGGATGGCAGGGTTTGAGAGCCCAAGTCCTTGGGCTGAAAGCTTTGGATAGGCTGAGAATATGCCAGATGAGGTGATTGCGTTCATGGCGTAGGAGGAAGGTGAATAGAAGATGGCTTGGATTGGGGAACAGGTGGGACAAGCCATATGAATTTGGATTCTATGTCTCTTTTCCTCATGGTAGATGGAAGAATTGACGATGGCATAGTTGAATGTAAAGATCAAGAGAGAGTCAAAGGCGTAGCTGGTGTTGCAAAGGAGGTCACATGCAAATTGTCTTTCAGAGTGATAGGGAACCACAAAGTCGATGTTCCTTGGTTTGAAGTGCATGGATGCAGGCAAAGTGGTGAGAAGAGCGCAGGAACCTGAAATAATGGCACCATAGCACTGGAGCAAAGGCTGAACATCCTGAAAATTGAGACCAAAGGATGCCAGAACTCTTTGAACACAAAATTGCTGATATGCAGCAGCTTGAGCAGCAGTGCAGCAGGATGTAAGAGCAAAACTCTTTAATCCATTGAAAGGGAGGTGGCTGAGGATTGAGTGGGTTAACTCAAGCGATAGACGGTCTAAATTGTTCTGGAGAACAATGGAGGATGGCACTATAAAGCAAAATGTAAGGCTACACTTTGAAGGCCGGATGACGTCGACACATACCCCTTTCGGTAACGCTGAAACCAAGTTTGGCGGCAAGCACCTCCAGGTGTGTGAGCACTAACTTGTTTTAGTGGGCCATTGCTACACATGGCATGTATGAGGCCTTCTTTCTTCTTGTAGCTTTAGCTGAAATATGATTAATATTGATATAGATTAATTTTGTATAGCAAGTACTTAGTTGCAGAAATATTCTATGAAATTATGCCCACCCACCACCCATTATAGCTATTGAATTAAGCATAGACTGCTAATACAAAATTCTTATCATTATATGTTCTAACTAATGTATCAGTAATAGTTGTCAAGTGCCCATCTTCTGTACATTGTCTACCAGTAGTCATGCCATCATTAAACCAGATTGTTCCATCATTGCCTACAATTCTTGATACAAAATGATTATCACCATGATAAACCATTCCCTTTAATTTTAGTACATGTGTCTTTCTATTAACTTTGATTTTTATCTTATGGCTTGTCCTAATATTACAGAATGGATACTCAAGAACTAATATTTTTGGTATCTTAGTATAAGTTTTCTGGTATATCAAAGTCTCACTACACTCAGGACAAGTCTCTTGACAACTTTCTTTCATATCTGAAATCCAATGTTGAGTTGATGAGACTTGATATCCTTCAAGATTGGCAGCATATCCAATAGTATCAGAAAAGATTCTAGTATAGTCACAATTATTACAGAATATTTCTACTTGTGCATCTTCACTATCAGTCTGAAATAATTCAAAGGCAAGTTCAGCTACACTTGCATTATTTCTACCCTTTGGAAATTTATCTGGCTTCACAAAATACAACGCTTCTCATACTCTGTCTTTGGCCTCTTCTAGAGTAGAATTACTATGAACAACATCTTGAAAGCCTTCTATAAGTAGCTTTGTATAGTCATTAATGCTTGATAATTTCTCAGTCCATTCATCAGAATTTTCAAGCCAGAGATTATAGAGAATGCTAAATAAACTATCATATGGACAGCTATAATCTTGATTATCCCAGATAAATCCTTGAGGTGAGTTGCTATTTTCTTCAATAATTTGTCTGGATTTCTTTGGCTTAGAAATATTACTCTCACTGGCTTTATGCTTTAAAGCAGTGCTCCCTTTAGCAGGTACAAAATTAGTTACAGGAATTGTCTGAAGCTTTTGTCAATTAAAGTCCAAGGACTATCAGTTACAACTGGCATATCAAGAGGATCCTGATCAGACCATTGAAGAGCTGAATCAACTTTATCTGGAACATAGTTAGCTCCTTTCCATCTTTGGAATTGTCTAATAATTGTATTGTGAGTATAGCCTTCAATATAAGCTGGCAGAAGACCTTCATATCTGAGTCTAGTCACTTCAGATTACCATGTGGACATTCCTGTCTGAGATACCCTGAACAACCTTGAGTAATAAACTTGGGCATAAATCCTTGAAGAATGATAGTTCCAGCAGCAGTAGCACTCCTTGACAGACAGGTGTAGTATGACATGTGTGAATAGCAGCTTCCAAGATGAACAACATTATATGGTCGAGTTTTTCCTTGACTTGCATAGTCAGTCATTGCAAAGTTGGGCAAAACTTGTACTTGCTGATGCTCAATACTCTCAATAATATCACTTGGGAATTTACAAGGAATAGTTTTAGTAGCTCTCATTAATGGTACTACATTTTCAGGAAGTCCTGGAAGTTGAATAGTTTTTGCAGGTTTATCCAATTTTACAAAAAGTGTATCAAGAACTCGCTTGCCATGGGGTCCTTTCTCTGCTTGCCAGCCAGCTACAAAGCCTTCTTGACCTTTGGTAATACAGAGTTCAGTTGCATCATTATTTCTAATCATAACAGGCATGCCAAGACATAAAGATAATTTGCCAGCAAAGTTATCTGTAACTCCAGGTCTAAGTTTCCATATATTTTGCTGCATATCTGGATCAATCTCATTAGAAATGTGTTTAGACTTGGAAGCAGCTTTTAACTGACCCCACTTGGTCTTTGTACTTGGATCTTTCTCCTTGCCCCACTTGTCAATTGAATAGAAATGTGTAAGTCTTTGGCCAGTCTCTTCTGCAAATCTCTGACATCTGAGTTGATTGATCTGATCCTTCTCTGTATGATGACCACATATAACAGCAACATTTCTGAATTCTTTGGAAGATCGGAAGAGCGTCG